TAGCATAAGAATAAAAAGAACAAGCATTGATATGTTAATAAACAGTTAAACAGCTAACAAAACACCTTCTCATTTATTACTTCTTGTCATGCTCTTCATGTGTTAGGCATAGTAATATTATATAGTGCATTACGTATATAATCTCACTTAATTTTCACAGATACTCATTTTGAAGACAAGAAAAATAAAGCTTAGGAAATTTATTTTCCGAAATCATGAGGCAAGTTAGTATCAGAATGAAAACTGGAACTTCTAAAGCTTATATCCCTGAGAAAAATTATAAGATTATAATCCTTGTAATATAAGATTATTACAACAATCTTGCTAATAGGTGAAGGAGCGTCATTAAAAAAAATCCATACAATGACTTTTAATAGCCTCCTTTGTACAACAACGTATAAAAGATATTGTTGATAAGGTTAGGCATTCTTTAGAAATTATACAAAAAGAAGAAGGGAAGTGAATGTTAAGGAAAGATGAGAGGGCGCCAGAGACAAATTAAATTGATTGTACACTTTGTTGACCATTAGCACAATCTTTAAAGAAGGTGATTCAATAAAGAACATAGGGAAATACATTTTAATAAGCAAAATGTGTTTCATTTGCAATGTGTGTCACATTAAATGAGTCAATGTCTTTTATATTTACATATAAAGCTACTCGAATCAATAAGAATAAAAAAATCAATAGAAGAATGAAAAAGTACAACAGCCAATACACAAAGAAAGCCCATGGGTAAATAATTAATCTTTCTCATTAAAGAATTTCAAAATTAAATAATAGAATGTAATACCTATTTCAATTCCCAAATTGCCAAATATTAAAAAGAATAATGAAAATAATGATAAGGAAATAATAAAACACATAAAAATGTCCAATGTGATTGAGGAGTAGTGAAAGAGGCATGTATACATTGCTGCTGTGTAAGTGAATTAAATTACATTTACCCAATGAATTTCATTGACCTGTATCTAAATATTTACTTCAATGAAAATATTTCAAATGAAAAATAATGTCACAAATTATAGAATATACAGAGAACATTTTTTGCTAAATAAGTAATTCTAAATTTACAAATAATTATGAATTACAATTGCACATATGTAAATCTGTAGGAATCTACAGTAAATTGGCAATGGGAGTTATCTAAAGGTATTGATGCTGAGACTTGGGTGATTCCACATTTTCTTTTTGTTTATCGATAGTTTCTAATTTTCCATAGTAAAACCTAGAATGCTCATGTAAATAAACAAAAGCAAGATTTAAGATAAAAGAAGCAGTATGGTGGTTAACAGGATGAACTCTAGAGCCAGGTGACAGGTGATCTTAGATAAACTCCTTGAATTTTTTAAACTTGGTTTCTTCATGTGTAAAATGATGATGATAATAGTGCCTACTTCAATGGTTTTTTTGTGAATATTAAATGAGATTACTATGTAACCTACTGTGTGTACATATCAATCAATCAAATAATTACAAATTTCCTACTCCTACATTTCAGGGTAGTAGAGGTATTTGGGGAAGTACAAAGAAGTGTGAGATTGTCCCTCCTCTGCAAGCAGTTAAGTAGACAATGTCATTAACTCAAACGAGAACATGGCAACCAAGCGGTTCATAGTTCTATGACATGCAAGGGAGTCCCAAAACACACGCACATTTTAATGGCACTGAATGTCTACTTAACCAATTTGCTCCTTTAAAAAAAGTTAATCTAAATTGGTAGATTTTATGATATGTGAATTATATCTCAATTAAGATGTTTAAAAAGGTAATTATTTTAGAATATGATACTTACCTGGAAGAAATAGTCTTCAGAATATTTTAATACTAAATACACGGATACAGTACAGAACCTAACATTGCACAGGAAAATTTCTAAACTAGCTGATTTGAATCATATGAAGTTGAATCTGGTTCATAAAGTTATTGAATTGCTTGGAGACTCATTTTTAGTGTGTGATTAATAAAATGATGCCCACATAGGATTTTCAAATATTAAATACTATGACTAAAATAATGAGTTCCTTAATTTTTCCTATAAACCGATTGGGGAAAAAGTGCTTTATTTGTTTGGGAAAAAAATGGAACAGAAGTTCTTTCTTAATATAACTTCAATGATTTTCAAGATCCAATTAAAATTCCACTTTCTCTAGAAAACTGTTTCTTTGACCATGCTTGTCCTTATTCATAATAATAATCCTAGTTTCTGTTTACTGAACATTTACTACATTCCTGGGACTATGTTAAGTGCCTCACACTTGATTAAATTTAATTTTGTCAACACCCCATGAGGTAAGTGTTATTAGCTCCATTTAACAGTTAAAGAGACTGAGACAGGTAATTTAAGCAACTTGACCAAGTCCAATGGCTATTTAGTTATCAGGTTAGAATTCAAAGCTAGAACTATTGGGTTACAAAGCTTGTTGACACCGTACAAATCCTTCCTTGTACCTTGTTCCATCTGTGAATGCTGCAAATGAGCAAAGAAGGATAGGTCAAAACAATCAATCTTTTCTCAGTGTTCTCAAACAAAAGATGACAAGCTAAAACTATATTCTGGCAGATCAAAATTAGTTTTCCTTAATAACCTTAACAGTATTCTGAGGCACAATTATAGCAATTTATATAATGAAAAGAAATACTCTGAGAAGATGTGCTTCATTATAAGAGCCAATATTGAGAGAAGAATTGAACGTCGAGTAGTTTAAATCATTGTGTATGTAGTTATCCAGAAATGCTCTTTATGCATTAGGATTACAGCTTTTATTGAATTCAAATTCTTACGTTTTATATTTCATTTATTTATTTATTCATTCATTCATTCATTTATTTATTTATTTATTTATTTATTTGATAGTTATCTATTGAATACCTACTATGTGCTGTTCTAAGCATTTGAGATACATCGGAGAACATAATGGATAAAGATCCCTGCCCTTAAAGAAAAATAATAAAAAAGAGAACAAATAAAAAACGAACAAGACACAGCATTTCCAGAGAAATCCCTGACCTTATGGAGTTCCATTCTCAGTGTGGGGAGACAGACAGAGAAATATATGTCTGATGATGCTCAATGGTACAAATAGAAATAATGAAAGATAAGGGGCAGAAAGAGATGAGGGCTAATGGTTAAGTAGGGAGTCTAGAAAAGCCTCTCTGAGGTGTTAGCATTTCAGTGGAGATTTGAATGAAGCGAGGGGCTTAGAGAGTGAGCCATGTGAACATCTGAGGGAAGAGCATCCAAAGTGAAGGAAGAGCATGTGCAAAGGCCCTGAGCTTGGTGTGATCCTGGCAGAGCAAAAGGGCCAGTGGGGCTGGAATAGGGAGAGGAAGTGGGGAGTGGTCATAGATGAGGAAAGAGAGAAGTTCGGGCCTAGTGTCAGTGATAGACCGTGGCTTTTTCTCTGAAGAAGGGAGACCAGTTAAGAGGCTATTGTAACGATCCAGGTAAGAACTGATGCGGGTGATAGTAGTGAAGGGGATGAGAAATGGTTGGATGTTGGATATATTTTGAAAGTACAGTTGACTCTTGAACAATGCAGGGATACCGATGCTCCCAGTTAAAAATTCACGTATGACTTTTGACTCCCCCCAAACTCAGTCATCATCCTTTGGTATCAGTGGGGAATTGGTTCCAGAATCCCCACAAATAACTAAAATCATGAATTCGAAACTCAGGGATACCGAGGTCTGACTGCATATTTATTGACAAAAAGTCTGCCTATAAGTGGACCCGTGAAGTTCAAACCCGTGTCATTCAAGAGTCAACTGTAGAATCGAGAGGATTTCCAGATGGCCTGGAATGTAAGGTGTGAGATGGGGTGTGAGATGTGAGACATTTGTAATGCTGACGTGTTATAATGCTAGCGAATTACCTTTGGAGGGAAAAGCCTTCAACGTCTTCCTCAGGCCTGGTCCTCCTATGTAGAGACCATTGGACCTTGAGGGTTAAGTAAACTTCAAAAAAATCTGACTGCTAAGAATAGGGAGACATAAGTGGTGACCCTCCTGCCCAAGAGGGTTTTTGTTTGGGAGAGGCTGCCAAGCTAAACAGTGGTTGTGGGAAAAGAACAGATGCCCTTTCTAATGAATTCTTTCCAGTTTGTCAAGAAGAGAAACTGAACTTAAAGGTGTAAGGACAGATTTTGATTAAAGTGTTAAGAAGTTTCAGGGCTGGCAGCATACTGTAGCACCGAGCCTTACGTTTTCCTTGTTTTTCAGTTTTTCTCTCTTTTTTTCCCCTTCATTCCCTAGCCCCTCCTTGGCCCAACTTCTTGGCCGTGGGAAGGTACAGTTTACCGTTGTTTGTCAAACTTCGGCAGGCGTCAGAATCACTTGGAGTGCTTGTGAAAACACAGATTGGTGGGCCCCGCTCCCAGAGTTTCTAATCGTGGCCGTGTGTGTGTGTGTGTGTGTGTGTGTGTCCGTGTGCGCGCGCGCGCGCGCGCGTATGGATGTAGAGGGGCAGAGACGGAGGGAGTTGATATTTTGCATTTGTAACAAGTTCGTAGGGATGTTTGAGGAGAACTCTTGCTTCTCGTACCAGAAGACGTGCAAAGCGATGAGACCCAGAATTCCGCCTTCTAGGACGTGAGTGGGAAAGGTTCCAGCTCACAGATGTTTCCAGTCACCAGGGAAATGGTCCACTTACCCCAAGGTGTTTCTCGGTTGCCCTAAATCCATGACATTAAGAAGCAGAAGCTGGCAAAGAGGAGGAGCGGGAAGTCCTTCCAGACGAGACATCCCCGCGGAGCTCGGCTGAGCAGCGCGGGCGGGAAGGCGGCCCGGGCCCAGCCCACGGCTCCCAGAGGGCGCGGACCTGGAGGAGGCGCCCAGAAGGCGGCGCCTCTCGGAGGAAGTGGGCCCTTTAACTGCAGAGCCCTGGTGCCTAGCGCATCAGCCTCCAGGAGCGAGGAGCGGGCGCGCACCGCAGCCGTCAGTGCCGCCGGGGGTGCGGGCCCGGCCATCGCCACCGAGCAGCACCCGCGAGCCCCGCCGCCATGGGCGCCTCGGCCTCCAGCCAGCTGGACGAGGGCAAGTGCGCCTACATCCGAGGTACGCCCTCCCGGGGGACCCTTGGGCCATGCCCGCCTAGTGGGGGCGTCCCGAGCGGGTGCTCGTAGTGCGCCCCGGTCTCCACGCCTCCTGTCTCTACCTACCCGGGCCGGGGTCCCCGGGTGCCACCCATCGCGGTGCAGCCGGCCCGCGCGTTGCGGCCGGGGTGGGGCTAGGGATGCTTCGGGAAGCGCCGCGGGATGGTTGGGAGAGGCAGGTGCAGGCTGCCGGGTGGGGCACGACCTCCCTTCCTCCGCCGCGCGCGCCTCGGGGTCTCGCCTGTGCCCCTTCCCGCTCCTCCCTGGGTCCCGCGCGCAGAAACACCTCGCCCTCCGGCCTCTGGCGCCGGACTTCGTTTGGAGTTCTTTGTGAACTTGCCGCAGAGAACCGCGGGGATATCTCTCGTCTCCAGAGATTTCTCAGGGGATTCCCGGCCTGTAAGCAGAATTTCCCTCCTGGTCACGGTGGCCTGGTTTTGTAAAACGCAGCGTGGGCCATGGTTTCACTTGAACTTCAGAGTGTGACTTGGGGGATGATTTCATCAGAGGCAGAAAGGACAATGTCATTTTGCTCCCAGGTTGTGAGGTTCCCTTCCCTCCCCAGAGAAGGGAGAAAGCAAAAGAGGAACACTAACATATTTTGTAACTAGCGCTAAAGTTATAGATGGGGAGAGACTCATCGATAAGGTGACTCAGAAAAGAGTGTGAGGCCAAAACAAAACAAAACAAAAAACAAAAAAACAACTGAACTGAAACTGCAGGAAATAGTGACTGGGTGTATTTGGCCTCCCTGGCTCCCCCCCGCCCCCCACCTTACCCACAACCACCACCTAATATTTGCTTATCTTGTGAGTTTAGTGTTTTTTTTTTTTTTTTTCTGGCTTTAGAAATACTTTCTAAATTAGGCGTGAAACTCTAGGTTTTACCATAATTCGGTAAAGAAATGGTTAAGTTCTACCCGATACCCCTTTCTGGCCTCTGAACTTTTTCATAAAAAGAAAGCATTTATTTAGTGTCCTTATTCATATTTGTTTTCAGTCACCAAAATGTTTAAACCTATTTGAAAGGGATATCAAGTCAGGGCACTTGAGCATAGTCTAACTGATTTTCCAGATTCCTGCTCTGGTGTTTTTGGAGCTAGAAGGTCTTGAACAATCCATACCTTCATGGTACAAAAGTTTGTCAAGTATCCCTTCGCTGTCATTTAAAGTGGGAAAAATATGAATGACTTATTTATATCAGTAAAAGAGCTAACCTAAGCCTGCCTTAGTCTTACACATTTGACTATCTGCTCATTGTTTTCACCAGTGTGTATGTGGAGGACTAAAAGGATGATGTGGGAGAACATAATGAGAAGGGGCTTGCATAGAGTTTATGACATTTATTTTAAAAGACTTCATCTCACTGAAAAGCTTAGAAAAACACCTGAAGTGGAAGCATGGTCATCTACGGCAATCTCTGGAAGTCCAGCAACGTGAGAGATTAACTTGCCTGAAGACGACTTCGTGGTCGTGACAGTTGCTGCTGATGCATGCATTATATTCGTGTGATAAGAAAATGTATAACGTTTTTATTCCGAAATTAAATTATTAAACCTACAAAAGTATGATATAGCCAGTGCACAGGAAGGACTTGTAATGAATGCATTCTGAATGAATAAAACTATAGCAGATTGTGTGACAGTCACCACATCCTCTAGTCTTGTTCAGTTTCATCTCCTTATTGGAAGGGCACTCTCAAGGTATATAGGTACTGAGGGAAGAGAAGAGTTAAAGTTAGAATATCTCCAGAGAAAACGAGACGTTGCCTCATTTGAGAATACAAGTCTTGCCAAAGGAGAAAAGAGCATTGGAAGAATGTACCGGTGTTGTGGATTGTTAGTGCATGAGCAAGTGAAGGTCATGGGCTGTCGTTTCCTGATGGTTTTGAAGCCCCAGATCCTTGAAAAAAACTATAACCCTATCTTCACCACTTTGCCCATCCTTTAGCCCATAAATATTCTCAAGCTTTGATTTAATTGTAAGCAGAGTGATTGAAAGTATGACTGTAAAGTTTAAATACAATTTTATGACCCGTTTCTCATAAAGTAGCTGCCAGGGAAATATTATAGATTTGAAAGCTCTTGTAGCTGAGACAATAAATTTCTTTCAAGCTTGATAAACTTTGCTAACATATGGAGAATAACTAGTATATTTGGAGTGAATTTTCTTAACTTGTGGGTTAGCAGCAGCTGTCTGAATCAGCATTTATTTTTAGACAAATCATTTAACAGCTGCCATTTGGTTTGTGTGCCTCAAAACTTGGTGCGATCTTTGGCACGTGGATGTTTTGAGAGTACATTATTTCTTAGGCTTTGGTAAATCGGTAAGTAAAGGGGTATTAGGAGCATTAAGGCGTTACTTCATTTCTAAAGGTGTTAGTTTGAAAATTATTACCGCACTCATGTTTCTTACAACAGAATAAATTTTTAGGATTGTTAAAGACTTTCAGTAACTTCCCTTAATAAGATGTTTAATTTAATAAATAATACTGAGACCAAATTTTAATCACATGGGCAGCGTCATCTGTTAGCCTTTAGTGATGATTTTAGCACTGACCTAAAAGGGTCTTCCTTTAATAAAAAATAGAGCTCATATAATCTAGGTATAAGTGTCACTTTTCTCTTTTTATGGAAAATCAGTGCTGCAGCTAGCAACTCTGAAATACACAGGTCCTGGATAGGGGTTGGTGGACACTTCCAGGCCTGGTAAAAGCAAATAGCAATTGTAAAAGAAAATAACTGTTCTTTTCCTAGATTTACTATTGCACAGTAAGTCACGCTCAAGCTGTGAAGGGCCCACTGGCTTCCTCTGAAATGCTCATCAGTGATCTGATGCTTTAAAGTAAGAGATGAGTTTCAGCTTAAAAACAACATGTATTTCTCTCAGGGAATTTTCTCATATTCGTACTGTAAGAGTTAACTTGGGTGACTGTTTATGAAATTTATGCTGATAGCAGTGACTAAAGTCTCCACGGGCAAGGCGAATCGAAGGTAGGAGAGCTGGACGTGGTTGCAGTCTACTTAACCTAGAAGTGTTGTACTAGTCCGCACATTTGCTTATTCTTCAGTTGTCATTTGCTGGTAGGAGATGGGCATAAGAACTGGTCTGATTTATCTGGATAACTATGACAATGTTATCTTAGAGGCCAATTTGTCTGGCTAGAAATGACAGTAGGAAGTGGGTAAAGACTGTACCATCAGTAGTTGTCTCACTTCCTAATTTGTAGAAATGAATGGATTCTCTTAAAATTAGGAATCACAGCTCCTAATAGAAGGGAAGGCAGAATGAAGGAGAGGACCCAGTATGAATAACGTATGAACGTATATCGATTACATTATATTTTGATTAAAAATGCCTTCGAGCATACCAAACTACTGATGAAGCTAAGAGGAGTTTTAAATCAGGAAAGCCATTGTAGATTGGAGCTTTCTAGTGGCAATCATTACTTTTTACCACCTTCAGATTTTGTGAATGGAAATCAAGATGTTGGGAATTTAGTATGAATTGAGAATTTCTTAGATTCATCAAAAATAAAGACACTAAATTGAGACAAATTAACATTTCTCCCGTACTTGTGGAAGAAACAGTGACCTTCCTTCTTGGGTCCCAATTCATGCTTCGATGAAGTCATAGAGTCAGATGCTAAATTAAGATCTTGCCCGATAAAACACTTGTTTTTTCTAGAAGCATTGCCAGCAAGAGGACCACACCATCAAAGTGCTTTAGTAATAACTATTAAAATGACAATAGTGATATTAACGTTTTTATTTTTTAATTTATTTTTGCCACAGGCTACTAAATTGATTGAGTTTTACTCCATTGTAATCTTCGAGAAGGTTTGAACTGGGTAGAAAGTGCAACAACAGGAACTCAATTTGTAACAGTGGTTTCTAATATAACTAAGTTAACCGTGCTATGAAAGTTTTACAAAATATCCAATGTGCGTTATGGTGGTGGCTTTTAATCTCCTAATGAAAAATTTTAATTTCTTTTTTTGTCAGTGAAGCTCAGTAATACTATTTTAAGAAAAAAGGTACATACAACAATTTGCATTGTGAAATGGAAAATCAAGTGAGAAGCGAAGATAAAAGAATAATGGAAAAGAAGACAAAAGAATAAAAGAGCACAGTTCATCTGTTACGGTCCATTTAAAGCACTTGAGTAAAACATAGGACGTGAGGACTAAAATTTTAACAGTTCCAAATTAAAATACACACACACACACACACACACACACACACACACAGAGAGAGAGACAACACCAAACAAAACCCCAAATGCAATACAGATTTTCTCCTTTGAAACTGGAAAATTCATTTAAAAGAGAAACTAGCAAGTTTCTGCCAATAAGAAAATACAAACCAGCTTATAAAAAAATGACTATTTTTTTTTGTACTACATGTTTTTTTTTACTTTAAGAAGGAAAAATTTAGAGAGATGAAAGCATTTAATTCAATTTCACAAATTGCAAGGTCTAGGACCCAAAGTAGTTTATGTTTTAATTGCTCTTAAAACAGCAATTTATTTGCTCACAATTCTGATTTTTATGCTTTTCGTGTTCGGACATTGATGTCTGTAGGATTAGAATAAATTAATAGTTTTTACTAGGAGCCCCAAAGCGATTTTTTAAAAGTCCATTGTCTGAAGGAATTTTGGAAGAACAGTAAATGTATCTATACCAAACCACGTGGACTTTTTTTCTTTTTTAAAAATCATTTTTATTTTAAACCCAAACATAGGTTCAGAAAACCACATAACAGAAATGCAGAGCTTAATAAATCATTATAAGGCAAATATCCTTAAAGCCATCAGCCAGGTTAAGAAATGGGAAGAACTTCAGTAGCCATCCCAGAAGCCTCCGTGTACTCCATCCAATCCCAGACCTTTTTGTCTCTCCCAAAATAACTACTGTTTTCAGTTGTCTATTGCTGCCCAACAAACTCCCCTCAAAGATACTGGC